GGGGAGGAGGAGGACGCCCCCCGGGAGGGAGGGAAACGCCGACGCCCCCCGGAGAGGAAGCCCCGCTCTGCCCGTCCCCCCCCCAGCCGGCCTGCAAAGGGCCGCGGGTGGGTGGGGTGTCCACTTGGGCCCCGACGGGGCGGCCTCCGCTGCCGGGCTGGCCGGCTGCCCTCTTCTCTTTCCCGGGGAAGTAGCGGGACGAGGGCTCCGCGGGCTCGGGCTCCGGCTGCCCCCCCCCCCAAAACAGCCAGGCCAGAGGGCCTTAGTGTGGGGCGCCGCGCTCGGGGCCTCCCGTCCTGCGCCACTTACCGGGGCAGAGTCACCCCCCCCCGTCCATTTCCAAGGGAGACCCCCTTCGGAGGAGGGAGAGGGCCCATCGGGCAGCCAGCCTGGGGGGTGTGCCAGCTGCGCCAAGCGGCCACTTGGGCACCGAGTCCTCCCCTTCTGCTCCTGCTGGGGGGGGCCACGGACTTTCCTGCTCCGGCCCCCCAAAGCCTCCTTCTGGAGGAGGAGAAGGTGGGGGGAGCGGGTTCAGTCCCCCCCTGCCGTGCTTGCTGCCCCTTTGGTTGCTCTGCCCCCCCCACCCCCCGTGACTGTCCTTGGGGTGCGGCCCGCCTGGCCCCTGACCTGCCCCCTTCTCTCCCCCGCCAGGCCTACAACATCCATGTCAATGGCGTCTTGCACTGCCAGGTGCGCTACAGCCAGCTGCTGGGCCTGCATGAACAGGTAGGGGGAGCATGGCGGGGGTTGGGCTGGATGACCCTCAGGGTCCCTTCCAGTGGATTGCATGCTTGGCCGATGGGGGTTGGCTGAGTGAACAGGTAGGGGGAGCATGGCGGGGGTTGGGCTGGATGACCCTCAGGGTCCCTTCCAGTGGATTGCATGCTTGGCCGATGGGGGTTGGCTGAGTGAACAGGTAGGGGGAGCATGGCGGGGGTTGGGCTGGATGACCCTCAGGGTCCCTTCCAGTGGATTGCATGCTTGGCCGATGGGGGTTGGCTGAGTGCTTCCCCCCAGTGTTTGGGGTGAGGGGGGGTCTGGCCCCCTTGTTCCGGAGCCAGGCTGGGCGCAGAAACGCTCTCCCTCCTTGCAGCTCCGGAAGGAGTATGGGGCCAACGTGGTGCCCGCCTTCCCCCCCAAGAAGATCTTCACCCTCACCCCCCTGGAGGTGGAGCAGCGGCGGGAGCAGCTAGAGAAATACATGCAGGCAGGTGAGTCCCTGGGAAGGTGGGCTTGAGGGTCGGGGGGGGGGGCTAGCAAGGAGCCCCCCCCCCGGGCTGACGGCTGCCCTTCTCTCATCCTTGTGCCCCCGCAGTGCGCCAGGACCCCTTGCTGGGAGGCAGCGAGATCTTCAACAGCTTCCTGCGCAAGGCTCAGCAGGTGAGGCAGGGCAGGTGAGTTGGGGGGGGGACCGGCGGGTGAAGGGCCAGGCGCTGACCCTCTTTGTGCCCCCCCCCCAGGAGACCCAGCAGATCCCCACAGAGGAGGTGCAGCTGGAGGTGCTGCTGTCCAATGGACAGACCGTCAAGGTCAACCTCCTCACCTCGGACCAGACGGAGGACGTCCTGGAGGTGAGGCCTTTTTTGGGGGGGGCAGAGGGTTTATTAACAAAACCAAGAGGACGTTAACGATGGCGCTTAGCAAGACGTACCAAAGTTAAAACATGAAAGCAGATGGTAATTGAATGCCTTGAATGTGTTTTCTGCCTTTCTTAAGATGGCAGGTCTTTTTCCCCAGGGGAGGGAGGGAGGAAGCAGCTGCTTTTGGTGACCCCCCCCCAATTGCTCCCCATTGTCTGCAGGCCGTGGCCTCCAAGCTGGACCTGCCAGAGGACCTGATAGGCTACTTCCACCTCTTCCTGGTGCGAGAAGCCAAGGACGGGGCCTTTTCCTGTGAGTGGCCCCCCCCCCCCGCTGTTATGTGCGCCTTGCTTGGCAGGATGGGGAGGGAAAGGAGGGGGAATTTGGGGGGTGGCGGGAAGGGGGGGGAGCTGGTCTGGGTGCTGGTGCTGCAGCTCTGTGTTGGCTTTCTTCCCAGTCATCCGGAAGCTGCAGGAGTTTGAGCTGCCCTACGTGTCCGTCACCAGCCTCCGCAACCCCGAGTACAAGATCCTTTTGCGCAAGAGGTGAGGGGGCGGCAGCTGCCACGGGGGGGGGACCCCAGGCGCCAGACCCCCAGCCAGCGCAGTCCCTCTAACGGCACCTGCTCCCTTTTCCCCACAGCTACTGGGACTCCGCCTACGACGATGACGTGATGGAGCAGCGGGTGGGGCTGAACCTGCTCTATGCCCAGGTGAGCACCGGGACCCTGGCTGGGCTACGGGGTTGAACTAGATGACCCTTGGTGTCCCCTCCAACTCTGTACAGCCCCAAGATTCCTCTCCTTTCCCCTTCCAGACGGTGGCTGACATTGAGAGGGGCTGGATCCTGGCAAACAAAGAGCAGCATCGCCAGCTGAAGTCCCTGCAGGAGAAAGTCTCCAAGAAGGAGGTCGGTTGGGACCCTGCGTGGGTCGGGCGATGCCAGCCCCCAGCTCCTCTGCTTGGAGGGCTCCAATGATTCCTGGGTTTTGGAGGGGTGGACTGGAGGACCCTTTAGTACCCCCTCCAACGCTGAGATTCCCACTCTCTTTTTCCTTGGCGCAGTTCATTCGCCTGGCGCAGACGCTCAAGTATTACGGCTATCTCAAGTTTGACCCCTGCGTGACGGACTTCCCCGAGAAGGGCTGCCACGTCATTGTGGGCGCCGGGAACAGCGAGCTGAACTTCCAGGTCAAGCTGCCCAGCGACCAGATCAAGGAGGGCAGCTTCAAAGTGACGCGCATGCGCTGCTGGAGGGTCACGTCCTCAGTGAGTGATGCGTGGAGCCCCTTTCAGTTGCACCGAGTCCTGCGCCCGTCTGGCCAGTTGGGCAGGTGGCTGCCTCTTGGCCCTCTTTCTCCCCTGGCAATTTGTGGGTGTGTCGTGTCCCCCCCCCCCCCGCAAGCGCAGAAAGGCTTCACACCCCCACACCTGCTCCTTTCCAGGTCCCTGTGCACAACGGGACGTCCGGCCCAGCAGGCAGCAAGTCGGAGGTGAAGCTGGAGTTGGCTTTTGAGTACCTGATGAGCAAGGACCGCCTGCAATGGGTCACCATCACCAGCCCCCAGGTAGGCCCAGCAGCGAGGCGGGAGGGTTTGGCCCTGTGGGGCAGCCGCCTCCGCCCGCACTGGGACCCCCTTGCCCTGCCCCATACCCGCTTCTGCGCTCGAGAGCATGCCTGCCCAATAACGCACTCCAAACACTTCTTGAGAAATGCAAACCGGATTTTATTCTAGTCTGACTCACAGCCCCAAAATTATGGCGCAAGAGGCAGGACTTCCTGCCTGAGGTCAGCAAAACCGGGGCTCTTGCTGGGGGGGGGCGGGGGCAGTGCTGCACACGGGACTAAGTCACAAGGTCTCCCCCCCCCGTTGCAGGCGATAATGCTGAGCATCTGCTTGCAGTCGATGGTGGATGAGCTGATGGTGAAGAAGTCCGGGGGCAGCATCCGCAAGGTGAGGCTTTGGGCCCCCAGCAGGACGGGGGGCGGAAACAGAGCCACCCTCTTTTTGAGGGCCACAAGACCAACCTACTTTGCTGTCTCCCCCCCCCCCCACCAGATGTTTCGCCGGCGAGCCAATGGAGCCCTGCAGCGCTCCGACAGCCAGCAAGCCGTGAAGTCCCCCCCTCTCCTGGTAAGAAGCCCCTAACCCCACCAGACCCCTGCCCCAGCCTGCCCCTGGGGGGGGGCTTGGTCTCCTCTGACATGTCTGCCTGTCCCTGCAGGATTCGCCCGACAGCAGCCGGGACTCCCTCACGAAGGTTGCGGTGAGTAGCGCCCTCCCTTTGCCCCCCTCCCGCCCCCCCTGACTTGTGGAAGGGGCCCCCAGGGGCAGCCTGTTCTCACTCTCCCCCCTCCCCCTTCCTCCCCCAGAGCAAGCTCAGCTCGGTCAGCCTGAGGGCCATCAGCCATTCCAGCTCCGCCACCGACATCGGGGCGAACGATTTCCACGGCAACTACGCCTTCGAGGGCATCGGCGACGAGGACCTGTGAGCGGCCTGCCCCCCCCCCCCCGCCTCCATGTGGAATGTACGACCTCCCGGGTTGACCTCGATGTGCCTCGACCCCAGCCGGCTCCTCGCCCCCCACCTCGCCTCCCCCCGGGCCCCGGGATGGGCAGCGGGTGGGGTTGCCGGCTGGCGGCTTCAGCTCCATACGCGCCAAATTAGGGTAGAGTGGACATTTTGCACAGCGATCCGACACAGCTCTGGCACTGGCCAATAGACTTCTGTGTAACTGCTAGGCTTGTAATCTCGTTTAATCTCCCTGCTGTTTACAGATGAACACGAACGAATGTTTGTGGCGATGATTAAATAGATCATGATTGGGAAGTCCTGTCTGCGTCTCCTCCTTGTGTTTACGCAACACAAAGGAATACAGAGAAAGGAAGAAACAGCTCACACAACATCTCTCCGCAATTCTGCAGAACTTTGCAAAGACCAGATGTAAGAATTGGGCATTTATATTATGTTTCTTTAAATAACAGCCTTTACTTAAAATATGCAGTACCAAAATCATGTCCAGGTGTGATACAGGATGTCCCAAAGTCCCACCCAATATCTCCTTTCAATAAAGAGAAAATAATAGCTACAAGTATATTATTTCTAAAGCATAATCCACACCCCTGGGAGTGTTGTAGCGTTCTTCTCAATTGCTCCAACCGCAGTGGCAGCTGGGGCACTTGGCGGAATAAAAGTTTTACGTTTGGTCTTTGCAAAGTTCTATATAATTGCAGAGAGTTGTGTGAGCCGCGTTTCTCCTGCTTTACAGAGAAAGGGTAACTGCCCCTTCTGTGCTGTTTATGCGGGGAGGGGGGACTCCCCAAACCACCTACTTCCTGTGGGGGAGGGGGAAGCCACCTCCCAGCCATGCCGGTTGCCGCGTGTGAGTTTCGGATCTGCTGCTCTCCCCCAGCCAAAATAAAGCAAGATAAGAAAACAGTTTAATGCATTAATACACGATATAAATTACACAGACTCAAGCAGCAACCACAGTTAAAGGGGGCTGGGGAGGAGGCACAGAGAGGACAGGAAAGCACCAAGAACCGCCCTCAGTCGGAGGGGTTTTTTTTGGGGGGGGAGTGTTCTGCTGCCCCACAGATACAATCTTTTCCAGGTGACGTGAAAAGGGCCCAATCCGCAGGAGCAGGCAGTGCCCAGCCGCGTTTTGGCCAAGGAGGTCCCAGTGCTCCGCTGCCGGCACGAACTGCACTGCCCCCCCCCCACAGGTCCCTACAGCTGCTTCCCCCAGTCCTGGGGGTGGGGGCTTGTTTGGCGAGTGGAAGAGGCCCCCCTTTCTCCTCTTGCAGTCTGAGCCTATTCCTATGCAGAGGCACCCGGGAGGAGGCGGGGGCCTTGGTGTGGCGGGTGCCGCGGTCTCCCCCCGCGGGCCCTCAAGGGAGGCTGCTGTCCAGGCTGGGCCCCCCCTCCTCCTCGGGCAGGCCCTGGCCGTGCACCTTCTGGTGGCGCTTGTAGTTGTCCCAGTGGCCGGTGGTGTAGGGGCAGATGCGGCACTGGAAGGGCTTCTCTCCCGTGTGCCTCAGCATGTGGCGCTTGAGGTTCATGCTCTGGTTGCAGGAGTAGGAGCAGAGGCGGCAGCGGAAGGGCTTGTCCCCCGAGTGGATGCGGCCGTGGCGCTTGAGGTTGGCCAGGTTGCCGCAGGCGTAGGGGCACAGCGGGCACTTGTAGGGCTTCTCTCCCGTGTGCACCCGCTGGTGGCGCTTGAGGTTGTCGAGGTGTGCCGAGGCGTAGGGACACAGGGCGCAGGCAAAGGGCTTCTCTCCGCTGTGCGTCTTCATGTGCCGCGCCAGGTGGTTGGGGTAGGTGGTGACGAAGGGGCACAGCTGGCACGAGAAGCCCTTGGGCGACGACTGCTCCGCCCCCAGCACCGCCAGGCTGCAGCGCCCGCACACCGGCTCGCCCAGGCCCTCGTCCGCCTCCAGGACCAGTCCGCACGCCCGGCACGTGAAGGGGAAGAGCAGCTCCGGGAGGACGGCCGCAGAGTCCTCGGGCCTCAGGAACGGGGAGCCCGGGGCCAAGAGCGGAGGCTCTGCGGAGGAGAGAGAGCAGTGAGGGGGGCAAAAGGGGCTGGGGGAGGGACCCACGTTCTGCGCTCCTGCACGCAGTGTCCACCTGAGAGCCCCCCATTCCTCTTATCTGCTCCAAAGCTGGTTCCCGCACTGCTGGACTCTGCCGACCCCGTAGAGGTTAGGCTGGAGATCCCTTCCAGTGAGGAGGCCACCATCTTGGGAAGCAGAAAAGGGGATTTGCTGGTTGACTTATTTAGCTAAGGAGGGGTCTGAGGAGAGTGTTCCCCACTACCTTGCTGGGAATGGCTTAAAATCAGTCGCAAGGGACTTCCAGGGTCCCCTGGTCCAATCCCTTACGTAGGAATTGCTGCTGCTCAGGAATCGCTGATCGATGGCCAAGCAATCTCTGGTGAAAGACCTGCAAGCTCTGAAGAAGAGGCCTGCACCGTATGAGGGAGCCCATTCCCCTCTCAAACCGCTCTCACCTCCAGAAAGTTCTTCCTAATGTTAAGTCGGAATCTCCTCCCTTGTCATCTGAAGCCAAGGCTTCAGATCCTGTCCCCTGGAGCAGCAGAAAATAACCTGGCTCCACCTTCCAGGGGACAGCATTTCCAGGATTCTCACGGTCATCTGTCAGGAAGGCTTTAGTTGAGATTCCTGCACTAGATGACCCTCAGCCCCCCCCCTCACTACTCTACATTGCTAGGGTTGATAAAAACATACGAAAAGCCTGCTGGATCAGGCCAGGGGCCCCTCTAGTCAAGCCTCCTGTACTCGCAGTGGCCAAGAGCCTTCTCCCCTCCTGGGGTCAAACTCTGGCTCTCTTCTCCAGGCTACACAGACCCAACTCCCACAACCATTCCTCGTAAGGATGGATTTCCAGACTCCTTGCTCATCCTGGTCTCCCTTCCAGCTTGTCAATATCCTTTTGTTCCAAAGCTAAACAGCTCTTACTGTCTGAAAGTTACTCCCAACATTCAGTCACAATCTCGTTTCTTTGATTCAAAGAACTAGGAAGGAGATACCCATTAAACATTAGGAAGAGATTCCTGACAGCTGTCTACCAGCTCCATCTGGTACATAAACTGAGACCCTCCCTGCCCGCAGACTGTCTCGCCCGAGTGGTGCATGCTCTAATTATCTCCTGCTTGGACTACTGCAATGCACTCTAGGTGGGACTCGGAAGCTAAAACTAATCCAGAATGCGGCAGCAAGACTGGTGACTGGGAGCAGGCGCCAGGACCATATAACACCAGTGCTAAAGTATCTACATTGGCTCCTGGTACAAGCACAATTCAAAGTGTTGGTGCTGACCTTTGAAGCCCTAAACGGCCTCAGCCCAGTATACCTGAAGGAGCGTCTCCACCCCATCATTCTGCCCAGATACTGAGGTCCAGTGCCGAGGGCCTTCTGGTGGTTCCCTCATTGTGGAAGCCAAGTTACAGGGAACCAGGCAGAGTGCCATCTCGGTGGTGGCGCCCGCCCTGTGGAACGCCCTTCCATCAGATGTCAAGGAAATAAACAACTATCTCACTTTTAGAAGGCATCTAAAGGCAGCCCTCTTTAGGGAAGCTTTTCATGTTTGATGTCTTATCGTGTTTTTAATATTCTGTTGGGAGCAGCCCAGAGTGGCAGGGGAAACCCAGCCAAACGGGCGGGGTAAAAACAATAACATGATTTATTATTACTATTGACAGTAAGAGCTGTTCAGGAATGGAACCGGCTCATTAATAAGGGTGTGGACTCTCCTTCACTAGAGATTGCTAAGCAGCTGCTGGGCGGCTATCTGTCAGGAAGTCTTTCTGCTTTGCAAGGGGTTGGACCCCCACCCCCGGCCTGCCCCACATACCTGTCTCCTGCTCCGCAGCCGCTGGCCCCTCCATCTCCGCCTCCGACTCCCCCTGCGCCCCGGGGCTGTGGCGCCGCAGGGGGTTGCCCCGGGCGCATCGGCAGGTGCAGGAGCCGCAGCGCAGCGGGCGCTCCTGGCCGTGAACCCGCTGGTGCCTCTTGAGGTTGCCAAGGCTGCTGCAGGCGAAGGGGCAGGTGGGGCAGCGGTAGGGCTTCTCTCCCGTGTGGGTGCGCAGGTGGCGCGTCAGGTTGACCAGCTGGGCCGAGGCGTAGGGGCAGTGCGGGCAGCGGTAGGGCTTCTCCCCGTTGTGGGTCTTCATGTGGCGCTTGAGGTGGCTGGAGTAGTGCGAGGCAAAGGGGCACAGCTGGCAGGAGAAGACCACCCGCCCCTTGGCGGAACCTTCCTCCTCCTCCTCCTCCTCCTCCTCCAGCTCTTCCTCCTCTGGCGGGCAGCAGGCGGCAGAGGCGGGGGCAGGCAGGCCGCAGTGCTGGCAAGCCTGGCCGGGCCCCTCGCCATTGTCCTGGGCCTGGCACAGGGGCGGGAACTCCTCATCGCTCAGCACGTAGGAGGAGAGTCCGGGCGTCCCCCCGAGGGAGTCTGCGGCACACAAGGAGGGGGCATGAGGGGGGCAGCGGGGGGCATCCTCACCTCGGCCCGTCCCTTTCCTGCTGGCACAACAGGGGGTTACCACGGTGGCGGGAGGGGGGAGCGACCCCTGGCAGCCCTGGGGAAGCCCTTCCTCGGCCCGCAGCCCCCCTGCCCCTGCGCCCCCCAGATTCCGCGCTGCGCTCCCGCCCCTCCCGGCCCGCTTCCCCCGCACCTTCCGAGTCCTTCTCGAAGGCGAGGCCGGCGGCGCCGCTCTCCTCCTCCTCGTCCTCGTCCTCCAGCTCCAGCTCGTGCTCCGAGAGGAAGGCGCCCGGCGGAGCCAGGCCCTCCTCGCCCGGAGGATCGACCGCCGCGCCCGCCGCGTCCACTGCAAGAGAGCGAGACGGGGAGGAGGGCGGGACGGGGCGCCCCGGTCAGACACGGGCGCGGGGTCCCGGGAGCCCCGCCCCAACCCGGAAAAGGACCGACCCCCCCAGCCCGGTCCGAGCGGAGGAGGAAGAGGCTCCCTTGACCCGCCCCCCCCGCCCCGATCCCGGCTGACCTTTGACGGGCTGCGGGTGGCGCTGCTTCCGGCGGGGCATCTTGGCCCGGCCCAGGCGGCGGCGGGGGCGGCGGGGCGGCGTCGGGCGGCTCCAGCCCTGGGCGCCTCCCGCTCGCCGGGCCGCTGGGCGCCGCTGCTCCGGGGCCGCCCCGCCTCTTCCTCCGCGACGCCCCGCCTCTCGCCGCCGCCGCTCCCGCTCCGCCTCCTCCCGCCCATCCGCGGGGCGGGCGGCCAGAGAAGCGCGCGCTTCCGGTTCCGCTCCCGGCCGCGCGGCATGACGGGAGGCGGAGTCGCTGCCCTCGCGAGAGCGGCGAGGGCGCAGACTCAGCGCGGAGGGCAGAGGCGTCCTGGGGCGGCGGCTTCCGGGCCCGCTTCTGGCCGAGGCCCGGGCCGGAGCGGGAGGTGGCGCCGGGCTCCGCCTTGACAGCCGCTCCCGCTGCTGCTCGTCCTCCTCCCCGCCCGCCTCTGCGCTCCGCCATGAAGCTCCAGAGTCCGGCCTGGTCGAGAACCACGTGGCGGAAGAGGAAGGGAGGAATGTGGGATCAGCCGGGTGTCCGCTTCCACGGGCCCGAGGGGATGGGCTGCCTGGCGCCTGGTCCGCCCCAAGAGGGGGAAGCAGCCACGGAAAGGCCCCCTCCTGCCCCTTTCCATGCCCGCTGAAGAGTCGGCATCCTCCCATTTCAGAACTCTTCCCTCCTTGTAACTCTGCGCGCAAGGCCCGCCTGGGGTTACAGTCCTGATAGGGCAGCCTGGTCTTTTGGGCTCCAAGTGCTGTCAGGGCATTTAAAGTTCAAAACCACGCGGAGCCACCGCCGCTTCCCCGAAGAACAAGCCCCAGTGTTGTGTATTGAGTCAAAGGATTTTATATCTGTATTATTATTATTGTCTGTGTTTGCATTAGGGTAAAGTAACTGCCTTTTGGCTCCAGAGGGTACAGCTACTATTGGTTCATTTAAGCTGCTGTATTTGGATCCTCTGTCCTATTGGTTTCCTCCAAAAGGCAGGACTGTGATTGCCTGATATTGTTCCCTCCAAAATGTATCCTTTCAAGCTAGTTCCCCTGTCCCTATAAATGTAGCTCTTCCCTCCTCAGGTTTTAGTCTTGTTTGCTTTAATAAAGAAGTGTTACTAGAGAACTGACTCCAGCTGAAATCACAAACCCCACGTCACAACACCCAGTTGGACGGCAGCTCCACGAGACGGCCAAGGAGAAAGCGAAGGGGAGGAGCCGCGCTCCGAGTCGGGGAGCCCCGTCTATGCTCTTATCACTCTACCCTCTTCTATCTCTAGGGATGCTCCTCCATCCGCGCACGCGCAGGAATCCCGAAGGAGGGAGGCGGGGCTGAAGCCACCATGGATCCGCCCATCGGTGGCGTCATCTCGTGGGTTTGTGAGTCCTGGGGGTCCCGCGTTGAGGGTGGGGGGCCCCAAAGAAGGCGGGGCTCCTGCTGTCCCATTGATGGGGTGGGGAAAAGGGTCTGCAGGGGGGGGCTTTGCATCCCCTCCCTCGGCAACCCGCCTCCTCCTGCAAAGCCCCTTTGATGCTGAGAGCACAGAGGGAGAATTCCCCAGAGCTAGAAATGGAGACACCTGCGGTTTCAGCGGAGCTGCGAGGGTCTCCATCCTGAAACAATGAGAGCTGTGAAGACCTGGCTCTCTGCTCTTTCTAACCCAGGTCACGGGCAATGCTCTGGCCCCGCAGAACTGGCCATCTTACGGTGGTGTAAGATCAGCAGAGAAAACACATACAATTTGCATTTCTAGCCAAAACATATTTATTCATAAGCCCATTCAGATCAGTGGGACTTGCTCCCTAGTAAGTGTGCATAAGATTGCAGTCTTTAGGTGGGATCCTGCACGCTCCCAGCACAGCAAAGCCAAAAGTAACCCTGGGAACTCAGCACCTGCAAGCCGCCCGCAGTTTGAAACCCCTTTGGAGCCCCCTCCCACCTGCCAGTGAGGAAGCATCGCCCTTTAGACTGGGGGACACAAAGGGAAGGAGCGACAGAAGGTGGAGCTGAGTCCGCAGAGAAGCTGCCGACAGAGGGACCCCGCGAGCATCCCTGGACCAGGACCCAGCGAGGGATGGAGAGGAAGAGCGGCGAGCCAAAAAGGAAAATGCACACCAATTGGGCACCCCATAGTTTTGAGAAGCAGTGTCATAACAATGGTGGGCTCCCTTCCTCAAGCTTCTGGGGTACCTATGGGACTCCCCGAATTTCCTTGATGGCGCTACATTTAGCCCCCAAACTCTTATGCTTTATATTAAGTAGCCCACCATTAGAAACAGCTTTGGGGGAAACAAGCATTGTCAGGTATGTCGGAGGATCTGCAGCCAAATCACAGATTGCATGACGGCTAGATAGTCACATATCCTCTAAACTTTTGTGGCGGTAAGGGAAACAATATAAAAATAATCTCTCCTTCCTGTCACTACACGCCCTTTTTCCTCTCTGTGATGGGGAAAGATGTCTTTGCTCTTCTTCAGAAAGCAATCTCCAGTTTCAACTGGACAATGGGAATTTGTAATGTTTAAGGATTCCTGCCTGCCTGATTCTCATCACTTCATATGTTGAATACTGGCAAGACTTTGATGTGAGTAAGACAATGATCCCTCACTGCTGCCCAAGGGTGAAGGCAGGGCTGTTTGCCCTGTCCGCTACTGAAGTCAAGTGGCTGCCGGTGGAGCCTGGTCGGCCGGGAGAAGCAGCCGAGGAACAGCAGCAGCGGCACCCAAGGGAACCTTTGGGGATGAAAGGGGCCCCCAGAAGAATGGGGTCTCCACACACTCCCCTCTTGGAGGCTGCTTCGCTTCAGAGGTGATGCCCCATTATTGCATCCCGGGTCTCGCCACTGATTCTTAAGGGAATTTCACACATCACCCTTGGTGGAGAGAGAGGAACTGCAGAGCGCCCTGCTCTTGTAGCATAGATCTCCCTTTGCATGAGCAAAAGTTAAAAACAAAACATGTGAACCCTTGTGTGGGGTGACAATAGCGCCCCCTCGCTCCATTTCCCATTGTGTGGGGGGGCAGGGGGTCCTAGGTATCCCCTTGCCCTTGCATTATATACAGAAGCACAAAGGTTCCATGTCCAGCTTGGGTCCTCCTGCGGCCAGTGCTGGAGCCACAGTGGAAGACGAACTGGGCGAGGCCGGGGGGGGGGCTGGCAAAGCAAGTCTTTCAGGGCGGAGGAAGAGGCAACTCGGTTGTCCATCCGGATGGGACTCAAAGGCTTGAAAATAAACCAGGTTTCTGCTGCCACACATGCCCAGCTCCTACTCCAGCTGAATACATAAAATAGCTAGAGGCAGGCGGGGGTGGGCGGGCAGGGAAGCCGGCTTTGGCTGACCGTGAGGGGGAACTGCCCAGTGGTCAGAGCTGTAGGACAGAGCTTGCCTCGGGGGCTCTCCTTGGTTGCTGCCGCTTCAGGAGGGGCTGCAGCAGAGGGCCGCCTCCCAGGGCTCCCCTAAAAGCCCTTTTCACGAAGGACCCCAAGTCCTGGGTGTGGGCCCTGAGGCCTCTCCCCGCCTTTGGAAGAGCCCGAGGAGGCCTGCAGGTGGATGCGGCAATCCCCCCCCCCCCCAGTGCTCTGTTTCCAGCAGGGGACAGACAAGCAGCTCAGAAGCAGGTCGGGGAAACGGCAGCGCTGCCATCGACCCAGCTGCTTCTCGGGGGTGCACTGCTCCTTTCCCTGGGGGCTCCATCCGGCTCCCTCGCGAGGCTCCTCTCACCGGCCTTCCGTGGGGGCCTTTTCAGGCCGGTCCCAGGAGCGGGGGGTTCCTTGGCCTGCGGTCCGGTCCCACGGCCCGCCCGCCCGCGGCCACCGTTGCCTGCCAGCCGGGAGCCACGCACCTTGGTGACCAAGGCTCCGTCTCCCGGGCGCCCCGCTCGCTCCCTCTGCGCTCGCGTCCTTGGGGCCAAGCGGCGTCTCCCGGTGCAGCCGTCACTGCGGGGCTTTCTCGGGGGGGGGGGCACCTTCCCAAGATGCTGTGCGGCGGCGGCGGCGGCGGCGCTGGAGCTGCGGGGATGCTCAGCTGAGCGCCGAGCAGACCCAGGCCGGTAAGGCGGCGGCGACCCCGGAGCCCTGCCGGTTCCGAGGACCAGAGGCCCGGGGGAAGCCCGACCTGCCAGAGCGGAGTCCCCTCCTCCCCGGGAGACCTTGGCGGTTTGGCGCAGCGGATGCGCGGGGCGCTGGGGCTCGGCTTGCGCTCGCTGCCTTCCCTCCGCAGGGCGCTGGGAGCCTGCAGGCGATGAGCCGGGCCCTATGAGGGCGCTGGCGGGGATGGGGAAGAGCCGGGCCCAGGGGCGCCCCTCCGCCGCCCGGACAGCCCGCGGGCCTGACTCTCGGGGGCAGCAGCAGCAGCAGCAGCGTCGCCCGGCAGCAGCAGCAGCAGCAGCATGAAGCGGCCGCCCTCCCGGGGCGCCTCGGGCCTCTTCGGAGGGCAGCCGGCAGCGAGGCCGGAGCCGGAGGATGCGCTGAGCGCGGCCGAGGCGGCGTCGGCGGGGGCCCCGTCCACGGAGGGCGAGGCGCCGGGGGGCTGGCGCGAGTGCCCTTTGTGCCTGCTGCCCCAGCCGGCGGCGGCCTTCCCGGAGCTCTCGTCGTGCGCGCACCTGTCCTGCCTCACCTGCCTGCAGCAGTACCTGCGCGTCGAGATCAGCGAGAGCCGCGTGCAGGTGGCCTGTCCGCACTGCCCGGCCCCGCTCCAGCCCGCCGAGGTGCACCAGCTGCTGCGCCCGGAGCCCGCCTTGCGAGACAAGTACGAGGAGTACCTGCTCCGCCGCCTGCTCGTCGCCGACCCGGGAACGCGCTGGTGCCCAGCCCCGGACTGCAGGTGCGCTAGCCCGGCGGGGTGGGGTGGGGATAAAGGCCCGATTGCTCCAGGAAAGGACCCGCTTTGCGCGCCCAAGGGCCCGGTGGCCAACCCCCGACGGCCCTGGGAGACCCTCCCCTGCCTGACCCCCCGGAGAGAGGGAGGGAGACGGTGGGGCCGCCCGGAGCTGCCTCGCCAGAAGCGGCTGCTGAGGAGCTTGCCGTTGTGCGCTTGCCTCCCACCAGAGGGCGCTCAAGGCCGCTCGGCTGGGTCTTCCCAGGGAGACCCCCAGAAAGAGCAGGGTCCAATCCTTGCGTCCAATCCTTGACCCCTGGATGCCGGGAAGGCGCCCCTGCACACAGCCCGCCCGCGCCCCCCAAGTCCGCTCACTTTGTTTCCCCGCCTGGCGGTGCTGCGACCCCCCCTCCATAGGCGGGCAAGACCTGGTTTTAGGGAGATCAGAACTTTTCTTAGAGGGGGCAGAACAAACGTGATTGTTCAGTCAGATAAGTATTTCTCTTGTTTTACTTGATATGGGGGGGGAGCTGCCCCCCTTGGCTACGCCCATGCCCAAGCCTCCTTCAGCACCCTTGGGCCCGGGGGTGGGGGGCGAGGAGGAGCTGTGCTTCCTGCCGGGGAGGCCGCTGGGGGCTCGGACTCCGCCGAAGGGCAGCTCAGTCTGTTCCCAGGATAGAACTGCGAAAGTGAAAACAGAAAAGTTATCCCGCTCCCTCCCCGCTCAGTACATCACACATTTCCCGTCTATTAAGATGAAACACGTGTAGTTCTGAATTGGATTATGGAAGTATTAAGATCTAAAGGTCTCGGGAAGGAAGACCGTCCAGGCACATCAGAAGCTCAGCTGGCCAGGACCCCCCCCCC